AGATTGGATTCGAACTACGGACCTTCTGACAGCTGGTCCGAGGTGTTTTCCTCATGCTCAAAGAATGAGTGAGTGAGTGAGTTGGGTTTAACGCCACCTTTAGCACGATTCCACTTTTATCACGGCGTGTCAGCTTAATGTGGGAGATTTGGTTGGTTGGTTGATTTGTTGTTTAACGCCGCACTCACCAATATTCCAGCTATATGACGGCGGTCTGTAAATAATCAAGTCTGGACCAGACAATCCAGTAATTGACATCATGAACATCGATCCACACAATTGGGATCGATGACATGCATCAACCAAGTCAGCGAGCCCGACCACACGATCCCATTAGTCGCCTTTTACGAAAAGCATGGTCGCCTTTTACGGCAAGCATGCGGGTTGCTGAAGACCTGTTCTACCCTGGAATCTCCACGGTTCTAATGAGGGAGAAAATCCCGATATGAGGCAGCTCTTAGACGTTTACCACTTCGGTGAAACCCACGAGCACGGGTATGGTGCTGACAAACCTAGAAACATAATCGGGGCGAACCGGGATTCGAACCCACAATCATAGGTTTCTGGCGTGCCCAAGGGACGCAACTCTGGACAACGAATTGCTACGCTTCAGACGACTGGGTCACCCGAGTTCCCCATGACCAAAGAGGACATGGTATATCAGGATGGGAAGCCCTTCTATACTGGAATCAATAGAGCCCGCCGACCCATGCGGGCTACCCGGGGCAATACGAAGACGAATGTTCATTTTCATTTAGTCCATCCGTGAACATTCATGTTGTTCCGGGACAAGCCGAGGTCGACTTGGTTGTTCCGGAAGTCACGAGTGGTGACGAATGCATGGCCGATGCACTGCCGCATTCTTCACCGCACGCTTCTTTTCGTATCCTACACCAAAGCCATTCAGGTTTCCCGTACACTGCCACGACCTAGTCACGAATGTGCCGTGCCGGTTGGTTTGCCGATTTCGGCCAGAACGAATGATCACGACTGAACGTGCTGTGTTACCGATTCCGGTTGAAGACTGTCTCAACAAATAATTGCACTCCGGAGCTCAATGGCAGAAATACTGCTTCCACAGAGTCTTTCATCATCCGTCCAAATCTATTCGAATGTTGAATTCTCACGGAAAGTAGAGAGACTGGTAAAATTTACATTAGGTGGAACCTCTATGCTTGCAGTGTTGGAACTTCATGGCTTATTCTGTCTGCAAACTGAATAACTGCGTTCGTTACATAAGAACAAGACTCAAAGAAAAATCTAATGTTCCAAAGAAACTATAAAGACCAGGGGCCCATGTGCAAAGCAATATTAGCGCTGAGACACTGTAAGTCTTTTTTAAAGTATGGGAGTTCCGATTGTCTTAGCGCTAGGACCGCAATGGTCCATGTTTGCCCTGTTCCTACGCTAGACGGACAGGCGTGGGTGGGTCTTGTGTAGTGGTAAAATAGTAGAGCTGTCATCGGTGTTACAACCTGAAAAATAATCAGGCGCGGTCGTCATTGGCTCATAAAAATGGCATTAATCCAGGTCGTCGGCGTTCGATGAAGCGATTACAAATTGGTAAGGTTGTTGTAGAAGGTTATCAGCGAACCCACTGTTACTCGGGGGCACGGATGGCCCAGTCGTCTAAGGCGCCGCGATTCGCTGTACCGAGTTACGTCCCTTGGCTACGCCAGAAACCTATGATTGATAGTTCGAATCCCGGTTCGCCCCGATTATGTTTCTAGATTTCTCAGCACCATACCCGTGCTCGTGGGTTTCACCGAAGTGGTAAACGTCTGAGACCTGCATCACTTCTGGCTTTTCTCCCACATTAAGCTGACACGTCGTGATATAACTGGAATACTGTTAAAACGGAGTTAAACCCAACTCACTCACTCACTTTTACTCACTGGAACTCTCTCATATGTTGGACATGCAGTGGGCAGTGCATCTTCGTTTATCCAGTGTATACTATCTCAATTCTGTTATGATAGATATACCCAGGGCCAATTCGCCAAAGATTTCCATCTGTCTCATCAGTAACTTCGCACAGATTGTCTCTCGCTCATGAGTCAAATATGATTGGACGGCTGCTTTAGGATCGTCTCGATTACATGAACGGCTGTTTTAAGAACGTCTCGATTACGTCTCAAAACGAAGCTCTGGTGGCAAATGGGTCAGGATATATTATAATAGAATGAAGATATAATACCCTGTATTATCGAGGATGTTGTTATTCGGTAGTTTGCACGAGGTAATACTCTTTGACAAAATCCGTGCTTCTGCTGTAAGCTTGAGATGGAGATGACAACTTACCCACCCTTAATTATCCAGTGTATCATATCTCCATTCTATATAGTTATATATACGATATTTGGGATTAAAAATGGAGATTTACTGCCCTTGGTTATCGAGGATAACCTCAAGTATACATTAGAAGCACGGAGTTTAGACCAACCGTGGTGCAAACTTCAATGAGTACATGGAATGGTTCTGAGATAAGCCCTGCAAAGAATTATTCTTCAGTTAATACTGCGTCCGTGCAATGTGATTCTGTGAAAATGCAAATATACACATAGCTTCAGGAAGACAAAAATATATGCATGAGGCACCAAACCACAGAGGGCTGGCGTGTTTGGAAAGTCTGGCGAAGACACTGAACCTTTTACGACTTCGACTTCGATGCCTCTAGTCTGGCAGATGTGAAGGGTTCCTCTACAGGCTCAGGTCAAATATATTGTTGAAGGGAGCTCGTCAAGCATGTTTTATTCAGATTAGTCCAAACCCACTTTCTTTCAATCGTTTTTACCCTATTTTCTTTGCTCTAGCTACAGTTTTAGATGAATATCTGTGAATGACACAGGCTATTTCATTGTCCTTCGTTGACGGGATTTTCACATCATGCAAGATAAGATTACAGCAATGAAGTAGTTGTTTGTCCTTGTTGATATCAATAACTGGGTCTGGGCCAAACTCGATTATTTACAGACCGCCGTCATATAACCAGAATATTGCCGAGTGCGGCGATAAACAACAAACATACAATAAACAACTTATCCCCCCCCCAAAAAAAAAATAAAATAAAAAAAATAAAATAAAATAAATAAATCTATTCAACAATGCATTGTCCATTATTAAATATTTAGGATGCATCGTGTTTGACATGTTGTTCTTGTTCAGAGACTAAGTAGGGAGGTTTCATTTCCCAGAGGCGCTGTTTTATACCATAGGTGCCGTTATAAATAACAAAATGTTGCGAAGATTCCGTCCAATAAATAATCACTGTGTTGTGGTTCAATCTATGTATGTAGGTTACATTGAATCAGATGAAACCGAACATTCTTTGTTAGTGTGAGCAGTTGTGACAGTTGTAACAGAGCCCGTAAAGAATTGGTCTTAAGCAACCCACCCTTGTCGTAAGAGGCGACTAACAGGATCGGGTGGTCAGGCTCATTGACTTGGTTGATGCATGTCATCGTATCCCAGTTACGTGGATCGATGCTCATGATGTCAATCACTGGACTGTCTGGTCCAGACTCAATTATTTACAGACCGCCGTCATGTAGCTGGAATATTGCTGAGTGCGGCGTTAAACAACAAACAAGCTACATTGAATCCAAGCAGTGGTTCTGTTTACATCAGTCTACAGTAGTAAGTAAACTGCCGGACAAAAGAAAGGGCACACCAATGTTTGTTAGATGGTGGCTAAAAATGAATCAAACAAGAAATAGTTATTCGATGGTGATATATTTGACATGGGTATCACAGGCGATATTACATGCATCATACCAATGAGTATCTCACATCATACGACTGTTTTCAACCTAGTAACGTTTGTAACTTTTGGGTCAAATCCATTTTAAGGTACACCTTCTTTTGCCCTACAGGTTACATCTTCATTGCATATATCCGGGAGATAAAACCTTCTTCCGGGCGATAACGTTACCGGTCGGTAGTTTCGGTAGTTTCCGGTAGAATGACGGTGAAACCCGAACGCAAAATGATGCCGATTCATATGCGACCAGCATGCACATGAATGATCTGATTCATGTCGATGTGCTGTAAGTAATTGTGAATAACATATGTAAATGTGCTGAAAAAATGCATATTCATTTCGTTATGCCGAATTTCAGTTTTTTATATACTATTTACTTATAACATTTAAGACTTGTTGGACCGGATGTATGGACGCTTACGACAAATAGCTAGAGGCGAGAGCTTTGTGTAGGCCGGAATGCCTTTGTCTCAGTGACGACTTGTTGAACAAGATATGCGGGTCTGGCGTAATAGCGAGGTAATAAACAGGATGAATTTTATCTTTTCCTTTAGTAAACTTCGGATCTGGTTCTCCGTAATCTTAAGTCTATTTTTAAGGGGAAATGATTTTTAAAAAAGAAGGATATCGGTGTGCATAACCAAATTTTAAAAACGTAGAGCACAAGATACTATTCACTTCGAGAGTGAATAATAACTGTAAGTTACTTATTAATTTGTATTCTAACTTACTAATTTGCATGAATGTTTGTTTTAATTTTTTGAAATTTTAGTTTAGTTTTTAACGTAAACGAAATGGTAAAACTTTAAACTGTAGTTGCATGATAAATTATAGAAAAAAACCAGTTATAATGGGATTTAAGCCAGTCATCGCGAGGCATGACCGAACTGTTAGCGAGCTTCTATTTGTAGAAAATTAAATGTCGAAATATCGAGACATCTTTTTATAGTAAAACTCCTGAGGCATGAATAGCCTAATTCAAGAACCGACCAAATGGAACTTTGTCTCGATCTTTCCATGCATGATTTAAAGCTGTTCCTAAAAAGTGTCCAATAATTGTCCATTCTAGAAGGCAACGGCACCAAGCTAGACTCGTTCCTGTTTGTTGAGTCTGGAGCACCATTTCGATCAATTCCTAGCATGATCGTTACTGTGGCCATTAGTGTCAGGGCGAAAGTTTAATTTCCCAGCCAGGATGTCGCAATGTACCGGATATTCTGTCACGGGGATCAAAATAACCCGCACCGTCAACATGGCAGTCTTGCGGTGCTCGCATCTGGTTAAAGTTTAATCGTATGGATTACCCAGCATGTATTACTGTCAGTCTCGTCAAACATAAGCCATTCCGTGATGACTGACGCATGAGGTTGTTAATTTCATATCTGGTAAGTCCATTTTTGTTCCACCGATCCTCTTACCGCGAGAGGATAATCGTTGTCTGCGATGAAAATTGCACCTGTTACTATGACTGTAATGTGAGACGCTTCCTCAAACCTTACTGTCGAAATTTCTTGAGGTGAACCGTTTCACCAAAATCAAGAGGTATATTCATGCAGTAACACTTTGTTTTCAGATCAGTTTGACCATAGGATGGTATTGTTAGCTGATGATTTAACACCCGTGTTGTACTCGACGCCACATAGATGATAGAACACCGTCAGCCAAGTAGCCACTCGGATAAAGTGACACTTAAAATTTGCCTCCGATCTCGCGGTCATGTCAAGATTGTGATTTACGATTACGTAATAATCCGTCTGTTTGTGGGTGGGATGTATAATTCGTTTGTTAAGCAACATATACTCTTCCTTGAATGACATAATTTTTAATTATTCATGTTATAAACATAGATATAACGTCAATGGCTCCTTTAAATTTCACCAAAGATGTAGATCTATATAGATCAATATACGTCTTTGATTTAACACATTACTATTTTGTCACATTTTCATAATGTCAGATGTTAAATTTTCCTTTTAATATAAAAATATTGACTGCCCACATCTCTGAATGTTTGACCTTTCACTGAATGACCTGCAATCATTAACAGTGTGATAACATTTACAACATCAATCAAGTGGTATACAAGTGCTACCATGATGAGAGTACATGCAGGGTTGTATATTGCAGTCAATCAACCCCATTAGTGCAGGTATGGCCTGTGGGTGTGACAGCTATTCACAATCTAGCTAGTTGTGTATCCATGAATGTAGTACACCCTGTGGAGGATTAGCTCTCAGCAACACGCGTTGATCGGAATCACTGACACGGAACCAATGACCAGCTCACTGACAAGTCAATGGCTTGGATATATGCACAAGTGTGTTGAAATATACAACAAGAATCTGAAATTGATGATAATTTGTTGACATGTTTTGGTGGAGGTATGTATGAAGAATTTACATCAGTATGTTGCAATGTACAGCAAATTTGTTGGAATGTGTGACAGTTTCTAAAAGTACATTACCTAAGTGGGTGATTGAGGCGATATGTGCAACAGTGCACACAATATGAGGGCATCATGAAGTAATATACACTGATATATTATGTTGATATTTGAATAGGATATTGAAATATACAACAGTGTGGATTAGTGGAGAACAATGTACATTTATGTATGGTATAGGTGTATATATGTTGTGAAGGTATATATCAAGTGTATATCTCCAGCGTCAATCTAGAAGATCTGAATAGCCTTCATTTTCTTCATATTTCATAAGCTGTATTAAGCAAATCCATTATTCAAATTCATCGTGATCTCAGTAAAACCAGAAAAACTTCCATGATTCACACTGATATATCATGGCACATGACAAACTTTATTTATCCCTCCTGGAGCTATAATTCCACGTTGTCATAATCCTGTCATGTCGTGACATTTGTGATAAATCAATACTTTTTGCATATAATGTGCAAGCACAGAGTTCAATATGTGAGACAGCATATTAACATGGAGTTAGTGCAATTGCATGTGTACATTTCAAGCGTGGGTGTTGATTTCACGGATCATAAGTCGTAATGTCCTCACATAAATACTAGGAACAGCTGTCAAATGTGTCATGTGATCATGATATAATTTGAATATATGTTGTTTTTGGTGTCATATGTGCATATTTTGAAACACCTGTATAGGCAGACCTGTTTTGAAAACATACATATTTCTGTTTAACAGAAGGCAGACTGATATTTAGTCCTTGAACCACAGTTATCGTTTTGAATAATATATATTTAGAAAATAAAAAAAATTAAAAAATCCAAATGGAGCCCAGAACAATCCTTAATGTCAGAGCTGAGGCAATCTTGACATGCCATATCATTCTAGACTTGAGCAGGGCTCCTTTATAAATTTATTCTCAAGGGCCAGGTTGACTCCAAACAGAAGGCTGAAAGTGTACTTGGATTTCCTGTCACATCATGGAACATAAATTGACTTGCCTCTTAGTCTCTGTGGCAATGATTATTTAACCAAAAGAATGAACAGTTTTGTCTAAATATTAAAATACCATCAACTTATTTTTGTGCTTTAAAAGACTATTGTCCTGTGCTGGCTGGCTGTCTAGACTTGCTGTTTACCAAAAGACAATCTCAGGCATAAATGAGTATTTATTCAGTGCAGCCTTGAAGCAAGTCTGTATTTTCGCATTACGGTATTAACAATCAACATATGGTGGAACATTTAATAGAGACTGCTTGTTTAACTCTTGGAATGTAATGAATTTTGTTGTGATATACACTGTCATTCTCGGCTGTCATTTTGAATATTTGACTCTGTGAGATGGGTTGGGAAATTGCTGAGTAAGCCTTGCAGCTCAGCGAACACGGTGAAATATGATCAATTTGTGAGGACATCGTCCCATTACATGAAGTGGATGGACATTAGTAATCTGTATTTTCTCTTACAGGAAATATCCCCAAATGCTTTTTGCATTAAGATGGTTTCTATTTATTATATGTATTATGTTGTTTTTTTATCTGTGAAACATTTTGCTTACCATATGGATGAAGATATAGTAGATAGAAGGATGAGATGTGTTGTTGACAGGTCCCTTAGTGTTAGGGTGTGATGTACCCTTACATAGGCGGATCCAGATGATCCTGAGGGAGGGTCCAGAAGGTCCGGACTCCCCCTCCCCCTCCCCCCCGTGGAAACCAAATGTAGTATGTTGTGGGTAGTAAAATTGACTGAGAGAGGATTTTAATGTATGGACTCCTCCCTTTTAAAAATGCTGGATCTGCCCCTGCCCTGAGTACAAGCCTTATGTTGTACCCTTGCCTTGGGCCTATTGGCTTGGGTACTTCTGCTAGCACACAGGGCACATCACACCATCTAACCCTCGAGACCAGTTGACAACAAATGATATACCCTGTGGGAAGAATAGGTCACAGATATCTCCATCTTCCTGAGGCAAGGGCGTTAACTGACTATAAAAGTCCAGTTTCCACCCTTGGCAAACTAGGCTGGAATTTCTGAGTTGTAGTTTGGCTGGACTAATGAGTCTATGCATAGTCCAATCAAAAGTCTTGTAACAAAATCGACATCTGGTTCCTGAACAACATGGTGACTGCCGTGCAGAATTCGATTGATTCGAGTCGACTCGGCATCAACAGATATTTTCCAAATCTTTTCATGTTTTTAATGAAGGTGCTCAAGTGATTTGATGCAAGACCAGCTTTATCACAATATACATCTTGATCATCAATCAGGTTGTCTTAACTGGGTACTAGAATTTTGTTTGAATCAAATGTAAATGATATGAGAGGTGAAATTGGATTGTTCAATAGGAGAGATATAGAAGAGACATAACTCGTATTGGCCATTAGCGGTGCTACGATCGAACCACAAAATTCCAGGCTTATTCGGCAAGGATGGAAAATGGACTTTCATGGTCAGTTGACTCCCTTGCCTGGGGATATCCCATGCTTATTAGAAGACAGGACTAAAGAGGATCAGTTGGTCAGACTCTTTTTTGTACGTAATTTTGATCATTGTTGCTCACTGACTTGGTTGATTCATGTCATCGTACTCCAGTTTTGTGAATCGATGCTCATGATGTCAATCACTGGATTGTCTAATCCAGATTATTTACAGGAAGCAGTGATGCAGCTGGACAATTGCTTAGTGCAGCATTAAATAACATTCACTTACCTACTCACCGTAAAAGGCGACTATGCTTGTCGTAAGAGGCAACTAACGGGATCGGTTGGTCAGGCTCGCTGACATGGTTGATGCATGTCATCGTATCCCAATTGTGAGATTGATGCAGGATTGTCTGATCCAGACTCGACCATTTACAGACCGCTGTCATATAGCTGGAATATTAGTGAGTGCGACATTAAAGAACAAACAAACAAACTAGAAAAATGATATGACCACTTTGATCACATCAATATTGCTGTTTTTACATAAAATTTTAACTCACTTCAGCAGAAGTGGGGGCAATGTGACACAGTGTCACACTTCTAGTGTATTTTAAACATCTCACCTGATTTCGTATTTTTTTTCACAACCTGTCAATCAGTTGAAATCCTTTATCATGTATATGCATTTCAAACAACAGATATTATCAGGACAGTGAAGCATGTGACAGAATAACGCTCTGTGAGCCAGGCTCCGTTTCCAGTTCTGCTTGCTGTAGAGTTTCGTTCAACACTGTGTCATTGACATTGAAATGCTTCCCATCTGCATGAACACTATCGTGTATTGTGTCCAGTTCATGAAGTATGTTGTGCAGTCAGAGAAATAGGAAACCAGCAGGGATTGAGGAAAAAGATTTTGTTTGGTCAGGTTTATTGATTTGTGCAGGAGAGATTGAAACAGTCAACATATGGGACATCAGTGTGTGTTAGGTATACTTCGGCTCGAAAACAGGAAATGTTTCTAAGGCATCAGCAAGTCACTCTAAAACCTGTCAACAAGTCATTTTGTTGCTGACCTGTTAAGATCCGGGTTAGAATAGGTCTTCAGCAACCCATGCTTACCGGAGGGCGACTTTGCTTGTCATAAATAACGACATACGGGATTTTGTGGCCAGGCTTGCTGACTTGGTTGATGCATGTCATCGTATCCCAATTGTGTAGATCAATGCTCATGATGTCAATCACTGGATTGTCTGGTCCAGACTTGATTGTTTACAGATTGCCATGATATAACTAGACTATTGCTGAGTGCGGCGTTAAACAAAAAACAAACACGTCATTTTATTGATATCAAAGAACATATGTATAATTTCCAAAACAGAGGCCCATTTAACAAGCTATCGTAGCGCTATGATTGTCTTTAGTCTATCTTGTAGTAAAAGAGTTGGGATAGTGGTAGTGCTACTATAGCTTTGTGAAATGGGGCCCAGCTTGTCTAGTGTTGTTAACACAATATTTTGATGATTTGATGTATTTATTTAGTGTTCAGGGAAGACCTTATGATATTCTATGGGGCAATAGAGCAAAGTATTTTGTCTAAACAAAAAAAGAAATGGCATCAGAGACATGAACCCTACTGCAGTGAACAAAGCACAAAATAACTTTGTTGTAATAAAAACTTTTTGTGTCAAATATAGCTGTTGTGTTCATTCACAGTATCAGTGAAAGTCTGCTTTGTCATCATGATAATGAGGGGTCACAGGTGGCCCAGTCTTCTAATTCACCGCGATTTGCTGTGCAGAATTGCGTCCCTTGGGCAAGTCAGAAACCTATGATTGTGGGTTCGAATCCCGGTTCGCCCCCATTATGTTTCAAGGTTTGTCAGCACAATACCCATGCTCGTGGGTTTCACCGAAGTGGTAAACATCTGAGACCTGCATCACTTCGGGCTTTCCTCCCACATTAACCTGACATGCTGCGATATAACTGGAATATTGTTAAAAGCGGAGTTAAACCCAACTCACTCACTCATGACGATAATGACTGGTTTATCCCTAAGTGCAACAAATAAAATATGTGCAATGCCAGGATGGTGACAAAAGCTGTTGTTCAACTCGGCACCGACTTTGGTCCAGAAACATACATGTATTTTTTAGCCTAACAAGAAACCCCAAACTGTGAAGAACACGACAACACCAAGAACCAGAATGATCTGATTTGTTTTTTAAACAGGCCTATAGTTGGCCCTTTCAAAGACAATTATGCATCCGTGATATTTCAAGTTGGATGATGCTTACATGATGGAGGCTGCTTCACGATTGTGTTTTTCTTGAATCTGCTTGGCTTTTTTGTATTCTCTACGATCCAATTAGCGAGTTTATCCCAAATGGCTTTTTCATGAAAAATTAAGACTTTGAGTGTCTTGGAAAGCGGGCAGATGTTTAATGATTGCAAATTCATCCTGCACAGGACCTGTGTGGTGTTTAAGACCTTTGACCTGGTTACAACACTGTTTCTTTCAGAGGTTTAAATGTCTTACATCAAAAGAAAGCATTGGGAAGTTGTTTTGAGTTGGGATTGTGATAAGAGTATTGATTATGTAATGTGGGCTGGTATCTGTCAGGGAGGTGTTATAAGAAAATGTACTATTTCCAGATACGGCTTCATTATCCGAGAAAGGCCATGAGTGATTCTGTGAATTGATGTGTAGTCTCATATTTTTCCATTTTGGTTATTAATGTCTTCTCAGGAGTGAATGAGGTTTTTCATATCCTCTGTTTTAACGTTGTTGGTCAGGAGTGGTCTGGAGTAACCAGTGATCGATGAAATGAGCATTCATGTTGTTGACGGAAATTGCTACACATTGTGTTTGCAGTGTTTGCATTATCTGACTTGGCCTGGAATTCCCTGGGATTATGAAGAGAGTATTGATCCTCACATGCCTTGGGTTCAAGGGCACTGTGATCAGTTGCGGCTAAGAGATAGTCAATCCTTCTAGTGTTGTCCTTCATCAGGAACCATCGTTCTTGTCCATTACCCTTGTTTATCACCTCTTATCGTACACCTCTTGTGCTATCTTTCGAGAACTGTTCTCTGATTGCTGGCATTGATGGCTTCAAACCTGTACGAGACATTCCAGTTAATGGGTTTATGAATTAATTGAATCACGTGGAGTGAACATTGAATCCCATGGTGTGATAATTAAATCCCAATATGTGACTATTGAATTCCATGGTGTAGCCATTGCATTCCACACTGTGACCAATGAATCACATGGTGTGACCACTGAACTGCATGGTGTTACCATTGAATCCTATGCTGTTACCATTAGTTCTCTTGTTATGACCATTGAATACATGGTGTGATCATTGAATTCCTCAGTGTGACCACTGAATCGCATGGTGTTACCATTGAATCCTATGCTGTTACCATTAGTTCTCTTGTTATGACCATTGAATACATGGTGTAATCATTGAATCCCACAGTGTGACCATAGAATCTCTTGTTGTGACCATTGAATCGTATGACGGATGACTATTAAATCCCAATGTGACTATTGAATCCCATTGTATGACCATAGAATCGTAGTGTGACCATTGTATCCCACAGAGTGACTATTGAATCCCATTGTTTGACCATAGAATCGTAGTGTGACCATTGTATCCCATAGAGTGACTATTGAATCCCATTGTATGACCATTGAAACGTAGTGTGACCATTGTATCCCACAGAGTGACTTTTGAATCCCATTGTATGACCATAGAATTATAGTGTGACCATTGTATCCCACAGAGTGACAACTGAATCCCACTCTCTAAACCCGATTATGTTTGCCTGATAATGTTCCCAGTTCCAGCACCATGCCTGTATTCATGGGTTTGGCAGAAGTGGTAAACATCTGAGACCTGCATCAGCCATGATATAACGGATATACTGTTCAATGCAGCATTGAAACACACTCACTGACCATTGTGTGACCAGTGTGTCCATTAGTCTGGTTCTATCAGCATCGCTTTCAGACACAGCCTTTCAGCATCATGAAACATGTTTGCCTGTCTGTTAAATATCCGATAGCAAGCAGTAAATCACAAAGAACAATGAAGAGCGAAGCGTTGTTAACACGATCTGTCATGACACAATTTCTGGAGAATTTGAACATGCGCTCGTAGACTGATGATGTTAAAAATTGGACAATGTTATTTTTGAGAGGGAAGTGTCTTGTGAGTTTTTCTCCCTTCATGCAGCTTGGAAACGCAGATGAATACAAAGAATGAACGATGGTATTCAAAAGTGGGCAAGATATGACAGTTGTTTTTTGGAGAAAAGGTACAAATAACTGACTTGAAAATTGTGAGCATATCTGGGAAATATCAAACGTAGCCCCCCTGTTCGTAAAATGGACTTGTCCGACATTGCAGCAATCGGATTGTAATCAGGGAGTCGTCATTATTAGAATAAGGGTAAATGTTTTCGAAGCTTGTACAATTTTTAAGGATCCTTAAAGAGGCTGCACATTATGTTGATATCCCGTGCCGCTCATTGTTTACTCTCCCTGCAGTGTTTTATTGTACAATAAACAACTCCCACTCCTCGTTTATTTATTAATTAAATAGTTACAATCCATACAACACAAGTAAAACAGCTATTTTAGTTTGTGAACAAATACACTTGGGAGTTTTCTGTCTTTACCTGTGAGTTCCCTTATCACATGTAGACCAGTAATTATATCAGGAGCTATGTAAATTTGCCAGCTCCATCTCCATGAGGGTTCCTGGTACTTGGCATGCCTTACAGTTGTAGTGAATTATATATTTGCACAGTGAGATTGTCTGCAGATATCAAGGAGTGTTGGGTACACTTCAAAATTTGAAATATGTGTCACGGTCACACATTGTAACTCCAGTAATTAAAAAACTTGAATTTGTTTTTTCTTTGTATTCTTTCATGTACAGGATGTAATTTATTTTCTGAAAGAAACTTTTTAACGTCAATGCATGTTCAAGAGATATGTAAGAGATACCAGCAATACCAGCAACAGTACCAGCAACAAGACCAGCAACAATACCAGCAACAACACCAGCAACAATACCAGCAACAACACCAGCAACAACATCAGCAACAATACCAGCAACAATACCAGAAACAGTACCAGCAACAACACCAGCAACAATACCAGCAACAACACCAGCAACAACACCAGCAACAACACCAGCAACAATACCAGCAACAATACCAGCAACACCAGCAACAACACCAGCAACAACACCAACAACAAGACCAGCATCAATACCAGCAACACCAGCAACAATACCAGGAACAACACCAACAACAATACCAGCAGCACCAGCAACAACACAAGCAACAACACCCCCAACAACACCCGCAAAACCAGCAACAATACCAGCAACACCAGCAACAATACCAGCAACAATACCAACAACACAAGCAACAACACGAGCAACAACACCCGCAAAACCAGCAACAATACCAGCAACACCAGCAACAATACCAGCAACAACACAAGCAACAACACCAGCAACAATACCAGCAACAGTACCAGCAACAACACCAGCAACAATACCAGCAACACCAGCAACAAGACCAGCAACAGAACCAGCAACAACACCAGCAAAACAACACCAGCAACAAGACCAGCAACAAGACCAGCAACAACACCAGCAACATGACCAGCAACAAGACCAGAAACAACACCAGCAACAACACCAGCAACACCAGCAACAATACCAGCAACAACACCAGCAACAATACCAGCAACAGTACCAGCAACAAGACCCGCAAAACCAGCAATAACACCAGCAACAATACCAGAAACACCAGCAACAAGACCAGCAACAGTACCAGCAACAACACCAGCAAAACAACACCAGCAACAACACCAGCAACAACACCAGCAACAACACCAGCAACAGCACCAGCAACAATACCAGCAACAACACCAGCAAAACAACACCAGCAAAACCAGCAACATGACCAGCAACAATACCAGCAACAATACCAGCAACAACACCAGCAAAACCAGCAACATGACCAGCAACAATACCAGCAATAACACCAGCAACAATACCAGCAACAACACCAGCAACAATATCAGCAACAACACCAGCAACAATACCAGCAACAACGCCAGCAACAATACCAGCAACAATACCAGTAACAGTACCATCAGTACCAATGTGGCCTGATATTGATTTACCTGTTTCAATACCATCAACAATTAATGACCACTTCTAGTTCAGCGATGATCTATCTGCCGATTGTCCGATGACATTCCCTCGGGTTCTGGCTGCCATTTCATTGGGCCTCCTTATCTGCAGATTGAATTCCGAACAATTGTAGCTCTTGCTTTTGTATTCACCATTAACACCATGTCCTTGTCAGGAAAGTTATATGCTAGAGTGTTGCAGGGCGAATCCCTTGAGAACACCTTGCATCAGAATTCCTCTTCATGGAATTTGATATCTGTCCAATTTGTTGTAATGGCGCCAAGGGTTGTAATACAAGAACTACCTATATGGTGCTACATTGGCATTAATGCTGTCTGTGCAGAAGTACGCCTGACTTTTATGAATGTTTTATAAGGTTCAAAGATAGTTGAAGCCATGTGTTTCATTATAGATAATTTGTTGAATGATTTATACATTATCATCTCATAGATTCTTGTTTAGGAAAGACATATACAATGTCCTGATTAGGTTATTAGGTGATGGCCATTGTGGGTGTAGACTAGCCCATCGATGACTGGAGTGAGTGAGTATGGTTTGACGCCGCTTTTAGAAATATTCCAGCAATATCACGGCTGGGGACACCAGAAATGGGCTTCACTCATTGTACCCATGTCGGGAATCGAACCCGGATCTTTGGCGTGACGAGCGAACGCTTTAACCACGAGGCTACCCAACTGCCCCATCGATGACTTGAAATACACAAGGGAAGGTGTTTATAGCATACTGACTTGTCAATATCAATATTGATGCTATTGATGACTTGGAACATAGACGTTAATGATTTTATATTACATCTTGATTGTTGTGGATGCTATTGATGACTTGAAGCATACAAGTTGATTCAGATTTTGTTTCGTGATGACTGTGGTCTGTATTGCTGTTAATGCTATCAATAACTTGAAACGTACAAGTTAATGATTTTAATTACATATTGACTGTCGGTAAAGACAATACGGGTGAATTAATACATACATATACAAGTTGATTGGGTCCAGTGAAGATCCGGGTAGAATAGGTCTTCAGCAACCCATGCTTGTCGTAAAAGGCGACTATGCTTGTCGTTAGAGGCGACTAATGGGATCTGGTGGTCAGACTCGCTGACTTGGTTGATGCATGTCATCAATCCCAGATGTGTAGATCGATGCTCATGATGTCATTCACTGGATTGTCTGGTCCAGACTTGATTATTTACAGACTGCCGTCATATAGCTGGAATATTGCTGTGTGCTGCGTTAAACAACAAACAAACAATCAAAACAAGTTCATTGCATAATGACTTGTGAGTATGTGGTTTGATGTTATACAGAACTTGAACCAATCCAGTTGATAAAGTTGTTCATATCATTAATGACACTTGTCAGTATTGATGTGGATGCTGTTGACTGCTTGAAACATGCAAGTTGATGAAGATACTCACTGCATAATGACTGTTTTTGATATTGATGTCAGATTGTCTCAAGAAACAGAAGCCTTTGGCAAGACATTTGAGCAAGGCTAGGATCAGATAATGCTAAGAACAAGCAGAGAGAATGGCTCAAGAAATGGCAGCCTCTTCTTAGTTCACAGACATATTGAGCTTGGATGGCAGTTGGAGGAGGATCGTTTTAGAATAAGATCGGCATCAACAGGAGGAGGTATCAGAAGGCTCTTCTGTTTTATACACCTAACAAGAAATATGACCAACAGTACGCATCCACAGGCGGATCCAGAGGGGGTGTCCAGGGGATCCTCACTGCTCCTCTTGAACACCTAATGTAGTAGTACGTTGTAGGCAGTAAAACTGACTGAGAGAGGATTTAGATATTTTGTACCCCTCCCTTTTAAAAATGCTGGATCCACCCTTCATTGTTTCTGTTTTTTCCAACTTTGACCTGTAGGCAGGAATTATGAACAATCCTTATGATGCAGTGCTTGGCCTTATGGTATTACTATTTCAGGTGCTGGACATTTTGTAGGGGCACCTGGGAGTTTTTAAAGAAACCAATCTTTTCCCTAAAATGCTTCATTGACCCCCTCTTTGGTCTTGTGGTAGAGCATCTGCCCGGAGAGCAGAAGGTCGGGGGATCGATCCCTGGTTGTGTCATACCAAAAGACGTTAAAAGATGGTACTTGTTGTTACCATGCCTGGTGCTCGCCATAAAGGGGTTAAAACTAGAACTGGTCGGCTCGGAGTCAGTATATTGTGTCTGAGTGGGGTATTCATGTTAAACTGTGGCATGGTATCTCAGTGGGTTAGCACCATAAAATCGTCATTAGTCTGGACTAGTACAAGCAGCCACACACACAAATATCGCTGTATAAGTGTAATAATCTTGAACACGATGTTAACCCCATTTCACCTCACCTCACCTAAAATGATTGAAATAATTAACTTCTCCTCAGGATTTACATCAATGATCTCCCTCCGTTTAGAAAAACAAGTTGTAAGTCCCAAAGTCCTGCCTCGAGAAAATACTCTCCACCCCAATGTTAAATGGCTGGTCCCTTGGGGCTTCAAATAGAGACATGACAACCCAAAATCATTGGAAGTACAGTGTTTTAATCTTTCCAATAAGTCTGTTCAGTAAGTAAGTAAAGTTCCATGTCACCTTGACCAAACGGTTTTTGAATAACAACTTCTTTATTGTTGGATGTTTTTCTCATATTTCAGGGGGTGGTCGGGTAGCCTAGTGGTTAAAGCGTTCGCTTGTCACGGTGAAGACCCCCGGTTTGATTCCCAACATTGGTACAATGTGTGGAGCCCATTTATGGTGTCCCCCGCCGTGATATTGCTGGAATATTGCTAAAAGCGGCGTAAAACAACACTCACTCACTCACTCACTCACTCACTCCTCACTCACTCACTCACTCACTCACTCACTCACTCACTCACTCACTCACTCACTCACTCACTCACTCACTCACTCACTCACTCACTCACTCACTCTCACTCACTCACATACATTTCAGAGCTACTTCTTGTCCCTTCACAGCTCGGCAAGAATTAGCCATCAAACTTTTTGACAATAAGAAATTGTGTTCACACATGGTGTCACATCTTCATGTTCACCCAACTACTAATGCCGCTCAAAGCCTCGAAAGTGTTCAACTGGTAATTCATGTTTGGGGCTGCATGTTTCAGTGTTTCTTGTGGAAATATTGATATATTTTCTAGCTTTGATAAATTTGTAATAACTCCCATGGAGAACATGACGCAACTGGCCCATTGCTATACAACAGAAGGTTTAATTACATGCATCCTTAATCCCGCTGATGAAACAGTAGGAGTAATGCTAATCAGAGGTAATTGTGCTGTTGAGCTAATGCCCTCATTCTATACTGGATACATAATCTGGGAATTATGTCGGGGAAATCTTACTCTACTTCAGTGGTTGGTAAGCTACCATAGAACTACCTCCCATATTAAGTACATTCCATAATATCTACAGGGAAGACTGATGACAAAATACACTGTAAAAAACCCAAACTATTTTCTTCTTTTATCTATCTGTAGATAAAGTTCTGTGAAGAAACAAGCTGGAAAGGCCACATGGGGTAGCTATGACAGTGTAGTTATACTGTTCATTTTTTATTTTTTTTATGCATATTTGTATGCAGGAAACAAAAATTAATTTAGTCGTGATTTATTTTGCATATTTTATGCAAATGTGCATCTGGAGCTCTGATTTTTGTATGTGTCGATAGCTTTCCACTCTGTAAGTATTGCCTTGTACGATGTCAGGGTAAATTAACCAAAACAGCTAATGATTTACCTTTGGACTTTTTATCATGTAAGATGTAGTGACCATGTAATTACACAGGGAGAGAGACGATGTGTATTTTCTCTCTGTAATTACTAGACCAGTCTGCTTAATTGAATGGGTAACAGGCTTGTGCAATGAACGAGTGTTTTTTATGCTGCAGTTCTTACAGCATGTAGTTCTTATTGTGGGTCATTACTCTATGGGGATTTGGGGGTTAAATGGATCCCCAGCAAGTTATGCTGGCTATAACACAGAGCTCCAGATAACTTTTTGAGCAATTGAGTTTTTACTTGAAGGTTTCTCTTTTAATTGGGTTATAACATTTTTTATTGGGTAATCAATATCTTTTCACTCATCTATTCATCACACTATTGGGTTTTTCCCAAAATTTGTTAACATTTTGAGATTTAAAAAAATAATAATAATGTTTTAGATGTATATAAGGGTTCTAACTATAGGTTTGACTCCGAAAGTAAATTAGCTCAATTCTATGCATGCTGAAAAAGCTTCATTGAGTATTAACGCATGCTGTTTTTATACATTTGAGTTTTCATTTGCATGCGTTTCTGTACGCAAGTTAATTGAAAGTAATTGGGTTTTAAATATTTTTTGGGGTATTTTATGCAAATACGCAGCTTATTTGTAGCTCTGGAACAAGTGACTTAATGGATTGGGTGGTTAAATTGCATGTCATTGCAT